CATGGTAGGATTTGTGTTCAGTTTAGTCAAATGGAAAAAGAAAAGGATGCGAAAAGGATAGATTTTAAGAAGTTGATGTCATGGAGAAGAATGCATATCTGGAAGAGGCCCATGGTAGGATTTGTGTTCAGTTTAGTCAAATGGAAAAAGAAAAGGATGCGAAAAGGAAAGATCTTAAGAAGGTTGATGTCATGGAGACGAATGCATACACAATAATCTGGAAGACGATAAGGTAGGGTTTTGTTCAGTTTAGTCAAATGCAAATAGAAAAGGACATAAAAATGATATATAGATCGTGTTAAGAAGGTTGATGTCATGAAGAAGAATAAACACCGACACAATAATCTGCAAGAGGACAAGTAAGGTTTCTGTTTAGTTTATATAAATGCAAGTAGAAAAGGAGACAAAAATGAAAGATGAACAATAATCTTACCAAAACTTTTAAATGCGTTGTGCTGTAAAAACTTGCAAGTACCCCAACAATTCCCCCAGTAAGAAACTATGAAAACAAAGATGACTACACTAATGCAATCGACAAAATAATTGTAAATATGTTGATGGACACACTAGACCGGGTTAGTGAAGGTTAACAAAACAATGCTTTATTTTATTATTATTTATTATTAGATTTTTTAAAAATAGACTTAGCGCGGTTTTCTGGCCAGTATTAGAGAAAAGGTATTCATACTATCCGAAGTACGAATAATAGGTTTTAGGACAAGCCATACAATTGAGCCCCCTAACTAGACAGCAAATAATGTTTAGAAATTTCAATATTTTTATTTGGTGGATTGTTTTGTTCTAGTTTGTATTAAGTTCCTTCCCTCACACGAAAAAAAAAATTCATATGAACCTGAAGGGAAGCTAAAACTCATAAATGTTTTAGCGGTTCCATTGTTGACAGCGCTTAAAGTTGCTCGTGCAGCTGCAGTCTAAGTCTACGGTTACAGAAAACCAGAAAAAAAGCAAAACGTGCTGGCTTAAATTTGTCTAGTGAAAACTGAGCAAATATCCAGTCCAATGCAATAATCAAGGCAAGGAACGATTTATAACTATCATGGTTTTGTTTGGTTTTACAGTCAAAGGACATGAAGCGTGCCCATCTAGAATGCATTATTCAGTTTTCTAATATTCCGTAATTATTTTCAAAACAAATAAAATCTCGAAATCTGATTGCATTGGCTTATCACAGGCTTTAGGGAATTCTTTGCTTTTTGACGTTAGAAATATTTGCGAACAAATATAAACCACTCAATGACACTCAAATACCCACATTTGCATTCTGTTTTGCTGTGTTCATGATTAACATGGAATTTTGTCCTTTTCAGCACCTTTTTCATCGGTTTAATTGATCAAATAAACTTTTGAGCGAGTAAAAAAGTCTAAGTAAACAGGTAGAGCGACAATTTGAATCGAAGCTTGAGCGTAACGCTTGTTTTCTGGGAAACTGGATTTTTACTTCGCAATCCTAATTTTTATGAAACAATAATAAAGTATCGAATTCTTTATATTATAGAACTTCTTGTCGATGTACATACTGTAACCTTATAACAGATGTTCTTTTTCTATTTTTGTATCAATCATGCTTATAAATCACTGATAATCACTAAATACTACTCACCCATAAACCTATCCAAAAGCCAAGGAAAGGGACGGCTATTACTTTATGATAATACCTCTCCACTTCATCTCCTATCTCTACAAACCCCAAAATAATACAAAATATACCAATGATCATCTGTATGTAGGCTGAGATGTGTAATCCTTGTATTGACCTGCACATTTTTTAAGAATCGTGAATTATGATCGGAAACTAGAGAGAAAAACGAGATTGTAAATAACCGCTTTGGGCAGAATCGTTGGCTCATCTGTCTGTGTTTTCGTATGGAAACACACAGACATGCAAATGTGTTTCTGATTCAGTTGTACCACCTGATGGGCAGCTTTTGTCATACCATGGAGATGCATGATGATGCCAACAACATTCATTCAGCTGTTTGATGTCACTAAAGATCTAAAACTCATCTACCCAATAAATGGCATTATCAGTCGATTGAGAAAGGAGAGATTTTAAATGAACTGATGGATACCAGTCACCACAACATTCAATGTCTAGATGACAGCAAACGACAAGCAGCATCAGTTCCCTGAGAACACATAATTGGGATCCATACTGTTCATTCAGTTATTTGTGAGTATCACAACCATCAACTCTCTTTTATAAAATCCTTGTTCTTTCTCTCGTTTCACGGTAAATTTACCATTTTCCATACATTGGTTCACTGGTCAAACAGAAAGCACTCAAGCGAGGCGATAAGGTACTTTCAAAGGATTATCCAAATTTGAACCTTGCAACCTCGACTGAATGCTTTGTGTTCGACCAGTGAACCGATGTATGGAAAATGGTGAATGAATGCATGCATGATGCAAATTTCTGTTACATTCTTCTGAACTAGAACATGGTTTTCAATCTAAATTGCAACTTATTCGTTATCTTTACCGAAAACCACATTTTGAAAATCGTTTTTAATAAATATTTACATTAAATAAATCCACTTATTTTTTTATTTTATTCTTGTGTATTTTTACACAAGAGAGTTAATTTGCCAGGTATGGAACGGGAGAAAATTGCGCTCCAATTAAAATTAAGGTCATTAGTATATTCTGACGTATCAAAACACAATCGACTTTTTTATCATTATTCAAAAAGATTGATTAAATATTATGAAAAGTTCTTTTCAAATTATATATATACACCTAAAATATTGAGATTCGTTGTTATGAGGCTGCTGTACATTGGGCTGTTGATGTGGTTTGTTCATCGTCATCCAGTGGTGTGTCATCAATAGTTTCCTGAAATCAGAATTACTGAATGAACTAAAGAGACTGTTGCTGCTGATCTACTACGCAAATAGACTTTAACGTTTCAAGCTGCTAGCGTACCACAAGTGGTACACTAATCGGGGGCACTTAACATCATAGATGTTACCTGGACGGACACACAAATAACAACATGGATGCATGGGTAGATTAATGGCATCATGAAGGGGTGGTTTACTTGATGGAAACATATATATACAAATTGCAACATGGATGCATGGGTGGCTTAATGGCATAATGAAGGGGTGGTTAACTCGATGGAAATATATATATACAAATGGCAACATAGATGCATGGGTGGATTAATGGCATCATGGAGAGGTGGTTTACTTGATGGAAACATATATATACAAATGGCAACATAGATGCATTCGCGCATGGATGGATGGTTTACTACATGGAAAAACAAATGGAAACGGATGCATATTTTTTATATGGATTGATTGCATCATGGATGGATGTTTTATTTTTACTTTAGGAAAAGACAAATGGCAAAATAATTGCATTGCTGGAAGGATGACATCATTGATGGGTGGTTTCCTTGATGGAAACACAAATGGTAACATGGATGCATGGTTGGATGGATAGCACCATGGATGGATGTTTTATTTTTACTTTAGGGAAAGACAAATGGCAAAATAATTGCATTGCTGGAAGGATGGCATCATTGATGCATGGGTGGTATCCTTGATGGAAAGACAAATGGCAACATAAATGTGTATGTGTGGATGGCTGGAATATAATCAAAATGGATGGATGTAAGTAATTAAGTCAGTTATAATCAGAAAATACATACCAATCGAGTTTCATCGGGCAGTTCATATTGATGTCGAGAATTTTTAGTGAACATAGTGCAACAACAACCGATAGACCAGACGGCACCTAACACCTCAGCCACACCAAAAACTATCATAATAATTGCTAACTTGACTCGTATTTTGCACTGGGCTTCATGAGATACCTGCCCATATGACCTTTGTATGTAACTAGATGCTCCATCCTTTAAACCTTTGCAGTTTCCTTCTTGTTTGTCGATGATGTAGAGACTAGCACCATAGCATGCTGTGAGAGACATAGCCAAGAGTGTGGATAGAATAGAAGAGACGAGGTATGCGACAACCTGGAACAAATGATAGTAAAGTTATTTTATTTGGCGAAGCAAGAAATATGGCAACTATCATGGCTTTGCTGTTTTCTTTTCTTTTTTTTTTTTTTTTTTNAGATTTCTTTCACATGCCATTTTGAAATGTTTGATGTCCTGGAAGTGAAGCACAGAACTTCAAATGCTACAATTATTAAGACTAAAAGAAGGTGTAAAATTAAGTTTACCAGTGCAGAAAATATTTAGTCTCTCTGGGGCAGACTTCCTGAGAAAGAGCCACTCCACACCTTAGATATTCAAAAACAAGAACTATGATAATAAGACCTACTCCTTCACAAATCAAATAATAAAAGTTTGGAATCCACAAGCTAATGCACAAAAAATCTAATAAAGTAAGTAAATAAATAAATAGAAACATCTAGAAATAATTTATCTTGTACTTTTTATCTGGTAAAATTATAATCCAATTCAAATGTGCTTGGGAATTCCAAAACCATTAAAAACACCATAGAAAAAAGACACAGAAATGACTTCACGTGTAAAGGAGTAGGTGATGTTGAAAGGCCTGTCTTGCCTACAGTTGACGATACCATAGTCCTTGTTCTTGAAGATCTTGTGCAAAGGGTGAGGTGACTCTAACTTAGGCTTGATCTTGCCATGCTCCAACAGAGACTCCACATCATCTGCAATTGTGAAATTAATTTTGCGCCTTCTGTTTGTCCCAGTAACTGTACCATTCGCTAGTCTGCACTTCACTTCAAGAACTTCAAAAACTTCAAATGGCGAAATTTCTTGAGAAAGAAATCATCCAGGGGTTTCTTCCATTCGGGGTCTGCCTCATTCTTCTTAAAGCAATGGAGTTCCAATGCCTCATTTCCCTTTCCAGCATTCGGGATGGCTGGGCAAGAAAGTACTTTGTTTTTTCCTCATCCCTCAAAGTATATTTCTTGAGAGCAGCTCTGGTTAATACCAAGAGGTCACTTTTTATCTCGGCTGCTTTTTTCTTTTCTAGGTAGCCGGATTCCTTCTCGAATTCCTCTAACGCAGTAAAAACGCTCTCGTACGCTCTTCCAGCCGCCATTTTGGATTTGAGGTATTTGTGGTGAGTAACCGCTGAACTTACGCGGGCACGCAATTTTTAAACCTGTGATTTCGAGAGCATTCCAGCCCACCGTGGAATTTTTCAAATAAGATACATTTTTTTTGACTAAATGTTGCATTCAAATTTAATTATATATAAATTTAGTATTATTGCAAGAAATTTCAAATTGGATATGACGGCAATTGAACTTCTTATTGCGCAAATTTGATTTTGAAATCAAACTTGTGCCGAAATTGTACTCACGCTAAGCGGTCTTGCAATTTTGTAATAACTCTTTGCATTTCAGACAAAAGTGCACTCCGATCCGTCCATTACCATTATTCATTGCCCGGCTGCCTATTTCTTTTTTTTTTTTTTTTTTTTTTTTTTTTTTTTTTTTTTTTTTTTTTTTTTTTTTTAAACACAAACAATATCAAAAAAAAAACGGGGGGAAATATATAAGGATGTTACAATCATGAATAAAAATTCATATCATTAGTATATCTTAATGCCATGTCCATTAATATTTGTAAGTTGTGCAGAGAAAGGAAAGTGGTTACTGAAGGAGTATCTTGATTCGACGTCATCGAAATGACATAGTTTAATAGAAAACTTAAAAGATATGCTTCACTTGTCACGCAAAAAGGATTCAGTGTGAGGCTTCGTGCATAATGTTTAGCAATTTGCGAGAGGAGAAAAGAAAACAATTAATTTAGCACATAGCCTCTATTGAAACCTTTGTACGTGCCAAATGAAGCATATCTCGTAAATGGGCTATTCAGTCACACAAGACAACCAGTCGTTAATCATGTTGTGATGAGTATTTTTTAAAGTGATTGGCTGGTCAAGTATAGCTGATGGCAAGAGACTATCAGACCATGTCAAAACAACTTCATTCAAACTTGCATACTACAATATAGAGATTCAAAAACTTTCATGACAGCTTAATCAAGTCAGATGTAAATTACAGAGCGTTGCCATGTCGTGTCTGTAGTGTCTACTATGGTTTGATGGAAAACTAAGTCTATGATTCAAGACTTGTTCTTACCAAAGACTTGTTTGGGTGGTTTTCAGAAAGACTTGCACCAACTCCAATTATACCAACGATTATTATCTAGATCAATTGAATAAAGATAATATCAACGACAATAAAATAGTAATTTGTTGTTTAGACTTCTGTGGACGTGATAATAGATAACATAAAACAAGGCATTCAAAATAAACACTTTTTTGACCGCATTTGAGAAGTAAATTTCATAGTGCGAGCTTAAAGACTTTTTTCCTGTATATATAGTATATTCGTTATACATTTGGCCACTACACTATGAGTTTGTTTACAATACAATTCAATCTGGGAGGTCCATGCACTAATAGACCCTAATTATGAGGATTATTTAATGAATTTATTGCAATCACTCAACCATGAAAACCATCCAGTATTCTGGTCCTTTACTGATCTGAACAAATAAGCAAGCTTTATGAAAATCATTAAACTGTCGTCTCCTGTAATGACTTTCCCGGCTTATGATTACTATTATTTATAGCCAGCTTTGTGGATATTTATATAGCCTTTGTCCTACTTTATTCAACTTGCTACTCTGGCCTTGAAGCGGTTTTGCTAGACGTTTGTTTAACTTAGAATCACTGGTAATATGTGAATAGTTTTATTTGGATAGCTGTGTCTGACTGTGAAAGTGTTGTTCAGTGGCGTGGATCAAGCGGTTGGCCATGACTTTAATTCATGTGTTTTTTAAGCTTTCAATTCTAAGTAATTCACTCGTAACTCAAAATTACCAACAAATTAATTCACAAATACAGAATTCTAGATTCATGACCCTTTTTTATTTCCATTTCAAAAACGACTATTTTACTTATGACAAAAATGATGTAACAATCCTGAATGGCGCCAGGAATATTTCGCGTGATTTTTCGTTTAATCGGAGAATTATTGTTTTTCTGGTAAAGTGTTTGACTAGAAGAGTCGACGTAAATATTATCATAAAATTCATAATAGGACATTTAGTATCATATTCATACAAAATGTGATAACAATTCTAAGCTAAGTTCACCAAAGGGATGTACAGATTTAGTGTAAGATTCTTGGAATTACAGAAAGAGATTCGGTGATGTACTCGGGGTTGTAAAAGTCATATTTTGACAATGGATAGTGCGTTTGTATTAATGGCTCTTAAACTCGCAAATATCCTATGAATATTAAATAAATTTTGCCATAAAACTTACGTTACTTCTGCTTATATAATTCTCAATCATTTCAGCCGATACTTTCGGCATACATACAGTTTAGTAGTTTTAAATTCAAAGGGGGAATTGGTTCAAGTAAAGTTATACTGAATAGTTTTAGATATTGGATTTCCAAACCGAAGCTGAAGCAATCAAGTTCGGACTGATAATTTTTTTAAATCATTTTTTAATTTTGCCGTGGAGTTCCAGACCGACCAGCGTCTTTCACTTTCTTTGTCATAGTACACACAAACTCGTTTCTGTAATATTTGATGCAACCTTACCATACAACCAATCCATACAGCAAGCAAATACAACGCAGGGAAGCTGCTTCGATGCTTGGTTATCTCAAATCTGTCCGCGATTCCAAACACAGTGAATAAAAATCCAAGTAGAATTTGGATTGCTGCTGAGAGTCTTGTCCGCTTGTATGAGTAAATAAAAGCCATGCCGGGTGAAAACGAGATTCGCTAAGAAGCTTGGTGAACGTAAATATAAAACTACATTTGCATAGAATATTGATTTGAATATTCATGAGCATCGGCTTGTCGTAGAAGAGCTCAAGCACGACGCAAACCAGCACAGAACCAGGACTTCATAGCAAGACTTCATAGTGTGCTTGAAGTAAGTCAAATTCCCTTTACGACGAATTCTGTGCCCTTGTTATGTTTGTAGTGGTGTAATATACTACTCAAATGCGAAACCGCAAGCATTGTTAAGGGTAATAATAATGATGACCTTGGCTATAGTAGACAAAATGAATAGATTCATAAATAAAAATCAGTAGATTTTTGAAAAGCATACTTCTGTGACTGTCATGGATGGAGTCTGTCATGCGGTTCGAAAGTAAACGTTTATTAACTTGCTCTTAAAGTCAACAGGAACTTTATTTTTCAGTTGATTATTTCTTAAACCACTGTATTTGTATGAGCTGGATTCTTCGTTTGCACGTTACGTCATCGCGGCCATGTTGGTACCATTTAACAAAAGATTTCTCATTAGCATCCATTGTTAACGGTACCACAAGGGCCATGTTTTTGTCTTTTAACTCTCTTGGGTTTGCTTGTGCGCTTATTTTCTAGAGGGATTTTACGACAGCCATGTTTATTTAGAATCTATGGCACTGACTTTAATTTTATCATCTTAGCTCTAAACAAATTAAGATATAGCTAATGCGATGCTTCTAATAAAATTCTGTGCAATTCTTTCTGTAATAATTCTTTCTTACACGCGAATTTCAAGTTATGTTTATGTACATGTCAATGGACTCCACGTCCCCTGACCTCCCGTCCCCTGACCCCCAAACCCCAGGACAGGGCAGGAAAATAACGCAGGGAGACCGGGTATTTGATGCGCATTTAACAGCGTAAGTGAATGTATGTGAGGCGGGGAATTTAACGGGTATTTCACAACAGTTTAAAGCCCCGTGTACACTGGCGATTTTTGTGGCAATTTTCGGAAATATGAAATCTTTTGTCTCATCCTTCAAAAGAGACATTCGTCTAGGAAAATCTTGGTATCCTGAAAAAACTTTACAAGTAAATTCTTTACCATTATTTATTATGGACAATATCGCAAAAATCGCCGCAAAAATCGCTAGTGTAAACGGGGCTTAACAATAAGCCATTTTACTACCAAAATGCTTTACGAATTTTCTTTCTTATTCAGATTTGTATTTCCCCGTGAGAATAAGAAGACAACGGTGCTAATTTACTAGGGGGGGGGGGGGGGGGGGGGACAAAAAAGAAGAAAAAGAAAAAAGGATAAGGATGAGCGGACCTTTAACTTTTATTGGGGGGGGGGGGGGGGGGAGTGTGCAATGAATTCTGGTAATTATAATAGCTCTTATTACAATTGAGCCCGCAATAAGATATACTTTTGTTATGAATCATACAAGTGAGGCTATCGAATCGATACGATGTTGTCTCATTTGCATCTCATTTGCATGCATCCATAATAACTGCCATTAATCATGCATTAATGCAAATTTACATGTCATATTTAAAAGCAACAACTTCAATCATTTTAACCCCAAATCTGCTTTCCTAGGGATTGTGCTAAATTTCACACTACATGCAAGTGAAATTCCTCGCCATGTTTCGGTGGTCTGGGGATGTGGGTTTTCATTGAGTAGTGTCTTAAATTTATATATAGTTTATTACCTTCTCTCTCCCTCCCTTCTCTTAACCCTCTTACAGATTATCTCTCAGTTTATATCTTTCTCAATCCTTCAATAGACGTTTTTCGAGTTCCAAATTACCACTGTGTTTCTTGATCACAGACAGGAAGAATACTCACGTGTTCCAGTTAAGATCCCTTGAATTTCAAATTGTTTGTATTTTTGACGTTTCTTTAATTTACCGTTGGTATTTGTGAATATTTAAACACTGATACGAGGCTAACCCTGTGAAATGAGTCTGTAATCAAGAAACACAGTGGCTATAGCGCAGCGCAACCGTGACGTCATAAAAACGAAGACAAAGGCGGAATTCGGACAAACAAACTTACAAGTTTACTTTCAGCAGATAATTTTCACAGCCGATCGCAGTTGATCTTAGTTTACATGGGTTATTATTGTAACTTTAAGTAAAAATCATAAAATCGGTTCGTATAATCCTCGTAGCGGTTAAACAGAATGCAATGTTTGTCCGAATCTTTAAGCTATTTTTAGAATCAGCTCGCTGCGCTATTTGTAACTCGAAAGGTGTCTCTTTTCCTGTCATTTTAATAACAATAACAAATGTAAGATAAATTACACACAGAGTGTTCTTCAGATATTCGAAGAAGGAGCTTCAGCCGGTTCCTGGTTTGACAACAAAATGATTGACACTGGTCGTGGCTTCAGGTCCACGTGCGCGTAGGACAGCTCCCCTTCTTGCAGCAGCTGCACCGGTTCTACTGGTTCAGTGTGTTTCTTAAAAGAAGAAAAATATTTCAGAACTCAGAAGAATACCAACATCATTGGTACAAGGCTTAGAAAAGACACAAAGACCATGAATATTCTCCTAAGAGAAAAGGAAAATCGTACAAGTTTCTGCCGTCAACATGGCTGGCTGCTGCCATCAAACCTACTATTGGTCTCATTAAATCATGAATGATCGATCATTATATCCGGCAATGGTTTTTCTCATTCAGAAAGCTAATTTTTTCCAACATCAGGAGAATTTAAGAAATTTTTTCAACAATTAATTTCACTGTCTTTTCCACAGAAATTGATGGTTTTCACGGCCGCCATGTTGGAGGAATTTAACAAAAGATTCGTTGTTAATCTCTTTTGTTATATCCTCCAACATGGCCGCCGTGTCTTTTGTAGTTACATTCCCTTGGGAATGATTGAAAACCAGCAATATTTCAATGAGCATTCTTTGGGCTACCTGTTTCGCTTGGATAAAGGGTGACCGCTGTAAAAAAAATTCTATTTGACTTTCTGCGTTTATTCTACTTTTTGCACCACAGTCTTACCTTCTTAGGAACGCAACTGTAGATGGCCCAAAGAGCTGCCAGGATCTCAAGGACACTCAGAAACAAGATGATTGCAGCCAATTTGATGCGGATGTCACATTCTCTCTCCACGGTGACCATCCCTTGGGAACTTTGCACAGGACATGTTGCGGGGTCGCCGACACCTTTGCAGCTGCCTTCCTGGTATGCGATAAAACCAATACTGACGCTGTAACAGGCGATCAGGGCGATAGCGAAGATAATGGATATGATGATGAAAACTAAATAGGCAATGACCTGGAAGATAACGATTGCAAAATCTTTAGAGATTATGATTTAGAACTTTGAGTCAGTAGTTTGATGGTAAACACTGGACAGACAATGATGGACAAGACAGCAGTATCAGTGACGACCATGATATCCTGATATAGAATGATACAGAATATGATGGTA